ATTTATTAAGGATTTGATAAATAAATTATGCTGCCTAAACGAGTAGAAGGTATCAATATTTTGCCAACATCTAAAAGATTATTACGGAAAGTTAAGATTGAGCCCGGAAAATATTTTATTGAAGCGTATGAGAACTATTTCGTAACCATAACCTAAAATGAACAAAAATATCGTGATACGGCCATCTAAGCATTGCAATTTACGCTTACACTTATCCCCTACTTGCAAGCTGATTAAACTAAAAAAATGCCAATACGTATATTCTCTGATTACTTTCTAAAATCGCAAATTCTTAATATGAAATAAGTTTCAATTCTTATTACTGTAGTGTATGATGTTAAAACCTAACTTAGTGTTAGATTATAGGTTATAGGAAAGCATTTTATGGTGTACGATAGCGAAGTTATTTTATTTATTGCAGTCCTATTTGCTAGTTGATAATCATAGACCGTAAATCAAGATTCTATATCAGAACTAGATGACCATATAAAGGAGAACGTTGAGTCATTTTTGATACTAGAACTAAAGTAGACACGTAACACATTTATTACTGTAAGAGTAGCTCATACCACTGTGACTAGTCAGAAAAAGCATTTATAAATACTGTTACAATTACAAGGATAAATTGTAAGTGATTTACTATAGCGCATGTTGTCGCTTACTTAAACCTAAAATAATTACAGAATAAGATAGAATACCGCTATGCGTATTATAGTAGAAACGCTACGATGAGTATACAAGTAAGCTCCTTATCGTTATTTAGGAGTTTTTTTAAAGTCAATAGTATTTGGCTTGAGTAGAATTTGTGTAGACTATCTTTATTTAAAGATTTAATAACGTTCTAATCTTCTAAAAACTTCAGAATTTCATGATCAATTTTACCGTAGGTAATAATTTTAAATTTAATATACCAATTCGCAATTGACGTAATGCTAACTTGAGTGCATATAATTTCATATCAAGACGGTCAGGCTGCGTGGGTTTCATGCATTTGGAATGGTAATGCTTCATTTTTCCTCATTAGTCTATAGTGGTACAGCTTACAGTCTACAGACTCTTACGTCGATGGATAGTATGAGTACTAAAATTAGACTAGTATTTGAACTACAGTATGACCAAAACTAAATAAAATTGAGTTTACTGAAAATACAAGTAGAACTGTGAATCTACCCAGAAATAAGTAACGTTAATTTAAACGATAAAATCTGGTGTAAGAGCCTCTCAAGCTTTAGATCATGGCACATTATGTTAAAATTTCGGACATGTAGGCCATCATAATAATAAATAAAATAAAATAGTCGCTAAAGGTAGTGCAGTTGGAAATTGACGTAGTTTATTAATACTAATAGCTAAACAGCCAATTTTTTTAAGTAGTAAATGTTACAGCTTTCTAATGTTATGATATACCCGTATTTACTATGGAAGGATTGCGATTAGAGTTGAAATTTAATTTCTAAACGTGAAACTCTCACACCTGTTATTCTACCGCTTGTATAATGCTAGAAATAAAAAGACAGTATTTTAATGCACGAAAGGAACGAGACATGCTGGAACTTTCGGTATACAGAAAATTAAATAGGCATAATTTTCGTTAGATGAATTTGAAATACTGTTATAAAAGTGTCTCAATTATTCGATCTAATCTAAAAATATATTTAAAAAAATAGAATGTTTAATATATGTATCATTGGAGTCAGAAATCAAATAATCTTTTATTACATAGTTTCAGCGTAGAGAGCAACAATATTTAACTACAATTTAAAGTACGATATCAAATCTTGAGCTCAAAGTAAATATCATATAGACTTACTTAAATATATTTAGTTCCGTCTATTAGGGTGAATAAAGTCGCCAGGGATTAAACCTGAATCATTCCATAAACTCCGCGATAGCCAATCTATATACTTCATCGCTCGAATCAAAACGCTTAAAAAATAACTAATCTGCTACTAATGTCTAATAAACTTATCAACATAGTCAAATATACGACATACCACTACTTGTATTAGAACATGGCTTTCCATAACTGCTCAACCTAAAGTACTGTTACAAAACAGCTTTGCAACAAGATGAAGTAATGCACAGTCAACCAGTCGATTCCCTGAACCACGTATCAGGGAACAGTATCTCATTCAGAAACACTTTTCCTACACTGATAGACTACAAAAAGACTTAGACACCTCGAATCTTACATTAAACACTAATCATAAGAACTCACTTTATTATACGATTTATCGCATTTATACACTCTTTTACAATAACAAAGACATCCTAGTTAGTAATATTAACGTTGAAACCTGATAATGGATCAAAAAACTAATTTTATATACCGCTACCTATTGAAGACAACAGTATTTACGAACGTAGGCATGGGATGACTAATACAAAATTGTCTGATTACAATATGTCCTATCACGGAACATTTCTACGATAATCTACAATCTACCATAAGTAAATTACAATCACAGTGATTTAAATTATAAGAAGATTATTCTCGATTCCCTAATTAAACTATTAATTTCAGAAGGCTGTATATATCACCATAAAAGCTAGTGCTATATTTAAATATCACATATCTATACTAGAAACTCTTCATATAAGGGTAAGTCAACAAAATTATTGTAATATATATGTTTCTACTATAGTCTCGATATTACAGAGTATAACACTGTAACTAGTACCTACTGCAACTTTCAATAATAGTTAATTTTGTTAAATTATCTTTATCAACGATTAGTAATGATTATATAGTTGAAATAGGAATATACTGCAAATCGGAAGGTTATTAGGTTCTAAAACTTAGTCTACAGAAATATGCAATTATTTGGATTACTTCTGCATTCAAACTGTAAGCGGATAGTCGATATTTCGACTTGGACGTTACGGCTGGCCACAATATGTATGGCTAAAGAATCGTTGTTTTATCGTTATAGCCTCCAATTTTGCTGTTAGCTTAACGTAAGAACATATAATTTTACTTTACTGTGGAAGTTAAGACGCCACGTAATGTAGCAATAGCACATGGGATAGAATTTATACACCAATGATATTTGTCTTACCTGTTAAAAATAATTATGAAGGTCAATCAGCATGTATATAGTTTATCTAGATTCACTTAGTGATCAACTCTCATGACGCACAAAGGTAAATCAATAGCCATCTTTTCCCATAACAATATCCAAAAATGAAGTATTTCAAGTGTTCTTATTGTACTTTTTACTGATGAAATAGGTTTTCGAGGTGCAGTAAATTTTATCATTTTTGATAATTGCTATTTGATAAATATCCTTTTATGTCAGTAATAAATACATCTCTGTTTATTACAGAATGCCTATATGCCAGAAATTAGAACTATCGTTGGTTAAAAATTGACTAGTTACAGCTCTTGTATTTACTTATTTACAAGAAAATTAATTAATACAAGGTTTTGAAAATATGGAAGAATATTTTGGAGCTAAATGAGAAGATACCCTATTATTAAGTTGCAAGGTCATGGTCACTAGAATATGTATATCTCGCAATTAGCTAACCAAAATCTTAATTATTTCAAAATCTTGCAGTAAAAAATATAATCTATAGACCGTTACTAAGCAACGGAAAATTATATAATTAAGAAATACTGCTAAAGGGCTCGTTTTCATAGTTAAAAATTTAAATATCTAAAGTTTATTCAATTCACACAGACGATTTTACTGTGCATTTCTGCTTTATAAATGATTTCTTGCATCTTATAACAAGATGCTTTGATAAATTAAGTGGATTCATTAAAATTGAAAATCTCAAATTTCAAGACCTATTCTATTAGTGCCTGAAAAGAAAGCAACAATAGCTACATTTTTATTCTAATTTCACCCATTAATCATCGCGTTTTATATTTTACAGGTTTACGTGATGAGCTATGGGGACGAGGAGTAATCCTTTGTTTATCAATCTTTATATCGTATAAAGATTGCAATGTGTTAAATTATTCGGAATTTTGCTCGAACTCATTGTAAGATAATAAAGTATATTAAAAATTCTAGTATAACATTATCATAGAATAATTCCAATATGCAACATATCTTATCAGATGCCTATTTCATCCCATTATTTCTTGAAAGTGATACTTTAAAGCCGATAGTCATATCAATTTTATTTCATTCAATTTTATTTATTCACTGTAGCAAAACTTAGCAAACTACAGAAATTGATGATTGTTTCATCTCCATGACAATATTTTCTTTTCGTCTGCTCTCCGAAATTTCTTTTTTAATGTCTAATTTTTACATAGTATAATTTATTATGGTTTTACATATTTGCCTACGTCAAACTCGCTAGACTTAATTAATCTATGTTAAAGGCAGCTTATCTGTCTATAATCCATAGTCTAAGTCTTCCGCCATTTGTATAAATTTGGGAATAAAGTTGATACAATGATTTATGATGTATTGAAAAATGTGTTTTATTGAATAAAAAAAAGTAGTTGACAAGAAAGCTGAAATTGCTATCAAACTTAGTTGTATTACCTAGAAGATAAGAAGGAAATTGAATTTTTGCATAACAAAGACTGCCATATTTTCTTTAATGCTAAAAATTAGGTAATTAAAAATTAATTATCTAGGCCACCATGATTTAAATAATTGATTACTGTTAAATATAAAGAATCAGCCTCTGCGAAAACTTTCGTTAATACTATTATCTTTCTTCAGTACATGGACACTTAACGCGATGTTTGATTCATTCTCGGAGATAACATCAAAATCTATTTGGCAATAAAGTTATTTTTTTGCTACGAACACAATAGTGAAAAAGAAAAATTTTGTTATATTCCTTTCGCACGCTATTATTTTATTTCATTTTAAGCTATATCACTTTCTTTTTTCAAGTTAAGATTATTATTTTTCCTAAATAGATCAAGCGTATGCTGCATTATTCCATACAAGATATACAGTACTCTAAAGGATTTATGGTGGCTAAATTTTGGTAAGAAATAGTAAACGAAATCGTTAAAGATAAGAAACATGGAAAGTAATAAAACCAATGAAACAGTACAGGGTCCGCAAGCTGATATTATTGGCATTTGTCTTGGCTCTACAACTATTGTCACCAATTTGTTTATGGTTTTGGTGATACTTTCTAATAAGAAACTAAAATCTGTGATATTTACAATACTATCCAGTATGTTTTTAGTTGGCGTTTTAAGTGCCTCCATTTATATTTTACCTCGTTGGGCATTTGCAGCATTTATCGGCGATTCTTTTTTCTGCTACATTTTACCAGCAGTGGGAACAGCATTTGTGATTAATCTAAATATGCATCAATGTCTGGTTTGTATAGATCGCTACATGGCGGTAACAAGACCATTTCAATATAAACTTCGCGCACAGACGAGATATGTCATTATCATATTATTGCTGGTTTGGCTAACGTCGATTCTAACAGCTCTTCTGCCAGCTACGGTTACTTTCGGGCAAGATCCTATCAATCAATGCCAAAGTCAATTGAATAGTACCGATTTGCGAATGGATTATTTAGTAGGACTAACAACTACATTTATACTCATGCCCATGGCTGTTATTGTATTTTGTTACCTAAGAATTTTTTATATTATTAAATCTAGAAGCAGCATTATATTTCATCAAAAAAACAACGTAACTCAATATAAATCTAATATGATCGCAAAAAACATTAAAGCTGCACAACAAATGGCTGTTATTACAACCTTCTACATCATAGCTTTCTTACCGTTTATAACTGTTTATCTAATGTCGCATTCTAATCCAAAATTGGGCCGTAGCCTTGCTTTAATTTTAAGATTACTCTTTATTGTAGCCTTTGCTGTACCGGCTATTAATCCTATTCTATACGCATATTATGTTACTAGCTTGAGGGAAGCCATAGTAAGTACACTACATCAATCAAATAGCAGTCGAATTCGCGTTAAACCAGGAAAAAATACTACATATTCTAGTAGCAAGGTCATGGGAGAAAATAAAGCCTGTCCGTCATCAAGTGTAAAATAAAACTCTTGGCTGTATAATATTGTTGTATTCTATGATTTTATATCAATATTGTATTCGCGCGCTAATTTAAGGTATAATAGTCTGTTACATCATTTTTTTAGTGAGATTCTATTTGCGTGGTATACCGTAGCTACGATACTGCTGTAAAATGCTCCTAACATTACTGATAATGTTACAAAACTTATATTCCCAAATGCAAATTTGGATTTAATCTATGAACTATATAAAAGTTTAAAATTATAATGATCATCCTAGATTAGATACTGATATATATTACTGCCAAAAAGGTAGCATTAGCTGTGTTCTAGTCAGTCCATATTCTAATCTAAACGATACATTGCCATAGTTATTGAGAGTAAAGCAAACGGTCGCATAGTTTATCTCTGAACTATTTAAAGAGATATTAAAGATGCAAAATCCTATTACAATATATCTGATTTTAATTTAAGCAAATAATATTCCTACAGGAATGTTTGAGTTTCAATCTATTATTTAAATTTTCGTTGATTCATTGAGTTGATAGAATGTTGCATCATATTTCTAAAAACCATGTGATAGAATAATCATGATGGTAATGAACATTTAAAATTAATAATGCAATTTCTAATCACTATTCTTATCAATCGCTTTGAACTTATCAGCCATTTCTTGGTAATTTAACAAATGATATGTTTGTCTAAAAATTGTTGTAAAATCGGATGTAAGTCAAATTTATAAATGAGATTCAGTCTTTAATTTAAGTGAACTCTTAAATAAAAGTCCTTACTCATAATTTATAACGGAATTATGCTGCGTTTCTAATAGCAATTTTTGCTAATACTATCGTTAAATTAGAACTACCTTCTTTAAATTCATAAAAGGAATAATGAATTTTTCGGGATGTGCAGATTACATGCAGTACTTATAAATCTGAATAACTAATATGAGCATCTGCTTTGTTAATATTTGTGCTCGTGATCAGTTTTTGTAATACGAGAGAATTTAGTTAAGAAGATCATGTAGGTAAAAGGCATGGTTTGCTAGCAGTCAAATGTTGACTAGTCTATCTATATTTCGTATATTTTATGAAAACTAAACCTAAATCTTTGTATCATCATCAACGGTCTCAAATATTGTTAAAGTAGATATTACTGCTCCATGGTTTAGGTACTTAAAAAGCAGAGAAACAGCATAGAAGTTCTTTAACTTACAGTACTTCGAAATGTTTTTGTAAATGTATATTACCAACTCTAGTTATTATATTAATTTCAGAGTACTGCTATCTTTGGTTCCTTTAGAGGCTAAACATCATGTAGCTGATCCTTCTAACGTCAACCGGATTTTATTTGAATAAAATTATTTTAAGATGGCCTCAAATAAATAATTATATTTCTGCAAATCATTTGGAATTTTTTTTTTGATATTATTCACTATCTGTATAACGTCGAAAATTAAAAAGAAAATAATGGAAGAGATAAATCTTAGCATTTCCTATAACTTTAGTAGATTTGAAGTGAGGATAAAATCGCAGGGTGGTGTTGTCTCCTATATTTACCCCAGTGTAATGTAACTAGTATTGTGATTGTAGACTATTAGCCGTGTTTAGTATAATGTACGGTACATATTTATCCTAAGAGATATTTGGTAGCTATAAATATAGACTGTAGTGGTAGAGACTCTATGCTAGAGTACAGATGGCTATATACATTAAGGTGTTGAGTTACTAATAAGGCTAAAGGTAAAAATAGAACTGTAAATTATATATTGGGATATGGTTAATTCATTGTACTTTGGCTGGTGTGAATAATATCTACGCAAGTACTGTAGTCATATCCATATTGGATTAATGAAGGTCCGCAGTAGAATAGTCTTACTAAGAATAATTTAACTATGTGTAAAATAAGGTAAAAGTTTGCCATGCGGATTGTAGCTGCGAATGCTACGGAAAGTATAAAAGCATGCAACTTTATATTATTCTGTTAGTTCGTTGTAGAAGTCTTTAGTAGTAGTATTCGGCTAAAGTAGAGCTGTGCGTAATTAATCTTTGTATAAGATTCAATAAAGCCCTTATTTTTCTAAAATTTGGAATCTCGTGATTGGTATATATCACACCCAGCTTGTAGCTGATAAAAAGGAAAATTTCAGGAATCGTCTACTCGAATTGATTCCGACTTTTTTAAGATAACCTTAAAAGGCAAAGAACAAATGTGGCTTTAGAATTAATTTGCTATTCATTGATTTTAATTTTAAACATTTAAACATTCTTGTTGATTGTTCATATAGCGAACAATTTACCAAGCTTGCTATTATGTCAATATAAGTTTAGCATAAGTCTAAAAAAATAAGGAAAACTCTAGTTTCGCATGTGTGCACGCAGTAGCTTCTCGGGCAAATTCTCTACATGGAATCTAAATCATATCAGAATTTTATTTATGAGCCTAGATATTACAAACAGTTATTTATATGGTGTAGAAACTCGAACAAAAATACCTGGTGATATAATGTGCAAAGCTAAATGTAGTTGCTGCATATCACATTCTTATCTGCATGTATACGTGCAATATATAAGCGCAAAGGATTGGGGATATAACGAACTTTATTATGTGTTCAAGATATAAGTGATTTAAGGATAGATTAATAAGATCTTGTATAAAGAGAAAAAAATTTACAGCTCTAAGATATCGAAGCTCTATATTTGTGTTACAAATCAGCTTCCTCACAAAGATAACGTAAAACAAATCTCCAAATTACTCTTGTCTCCAGGATTCAGTATCCCTTAACTGTCTTACAAGAATTTAGATGCCTTTGCTTCTACGTTAAAAGAACTGTATGACTTTTCTTCTATTAAACTATCTGCCGAGCTTAAATACCCTTCGTCAACAGCTATCACGTATGATTCGTAACAGTTCATGAAATTTAGCTCATATTGGATAGCTAAATTAAAACAGATATTATTCATAATTTTGGACATGTACTGAACGATTTTACATCATTAGACTACAGCATGTCCACGCACAGAATTATTTATGGTATCATCTATAATTGAATATCTTCAGGATATCCATTACAAGCGTTACAAGACATAACACTATCATCAGTCAATATTGGTTACCTTATGAGAACTTTTACTACAATACAGCATAGTTTACTGTAACAAAATAATAACTAACGCAGTTCTAACTTTAAAGTCATCATTACTTTTTTCCATATGTAACTGTTAAACTTTGAATTTAGTCATTTACCCTTCACGGTGGTTCATACCGTGACAATTTGTCTTATATATTTACGAATATAAGCAAAAATTTTCGAATCACATTCTTAGATGTCATTTTATACTCATATACTGCAATAAAATTTTTTGCAACAGTTATATACTCTGGGAACTAAGATCAATTTGTTTACCATAACTTAAATGTACCCATATTTTATGTCTGTTTATTATTGCTAACTTTAATCCAATTATTTTTACATACAATTTAGTTCTAAATATATCTTCACAGCTGCAATAGTGAGAATTACGGCTTTTCTAGTACTTTTATTACGCTTTATAAGACTTGAGAATTTTTATAGTCCTTTGACTACTGAAGGAAACATAGCTAGTAAGCAAATCTTACAACACAGTATACTTTAATAAATTAAATCAATAAAAGCCTTGATATCATCACAAGTCAAACTTGAGTAGTTAATATTTTGAGATCGTGGCAGTTTGTGTTGTAGTATAACGAAGATTAAAATTTTTATGCTTAAGTCTTTCATGGTAGCTTGTAATTTGCTTGCTACCCATTAATATTTCAAGTCGATGTAATGATAAAAGGTTCGATTTACGTGAGCAACTTTAGAAATAGATGGATGAAAGACTTGCGTCTAGTTGGACAAATCTTTGATACGTCACAAGATAGCTTTCATATGAATTTAGTATGCAGACCTGTGCAACATCTTTTGGTGAAAGACAGGTATTTAATTTTTATTAACATGAAATTTCTATTTATATAAAGTTGAGCTCAGTGTCAGGATAACAGCAATAACTTGCTTGCGAGCAAAACATCAATATTTTAGTAGAAGGAATTTTTTGCAATACTCCGTTTATTTATTGATATTATTTTAGTATTAAATGAATCTTACCTGATTTCGTTAATATATCAATATGCTGCATTATCACCAGAATTATCTTTACTTTTTACAGGTTACCGACAACGTAATTAATAGTACTATTCTATACTTGTTTTTTAATAGATACAGGATGTTAAAGCAAATTTTTATTTATAATTATGATGCAATCAGCTTCGAGTATAATATCAGTTTTAGCTTACTCGTATGCTGTTTTTCTCAGTGCTGACGAAGTCTAATAGGTTGATCAATGATTTTCTGTACATTTAGTACAAGTGCTATAAAATTATATACCAATATCGAAGATATCATGACAAAATTAGCTGTAATCATTAATTAGCCAGGAAATTTGCTCTATATTACTGTGGGAGACTATCTCATATGCCTTGATTCCTTCACTTCATTTTTAGAGAAAATGGCTCCTATACTTCTATACTATTTAATTGAGGTTTAGGCATAAAATTGTAAAACCTATCAATTAATTGCATTATTTATATTCGATTCGTCAACCAGAATTCAGAAATGAAAGCTCGCTTTGATATTTTTTAGTTTTCTTCTGAGCTAGGTCAATTATTTTAATATCTATTAACCAGTGTACCGAATAAGGTCAATTACTTTTGCATAACGCCTAACAGTTACTATCAAGTTCTAAATTGCAAGGAATTCATGAGAGCACTAAAATCAAATAATAAGTGTAAAGTGTAATAATCTAGCTTTTAACACCGTGACTATTATAATGGATTACAAATAGCAATAGAAAGAATGTTAATAGTTTCATTATTTTATATGATCCTATAATACTATAAGGCTTCTAAGAGTACAGTAATATCTAATAGACTATATCATATGATTCCTTTATTTTTTACCGTAAATAGGTGGTTTCGACAATGGATAGCACAGAATATCTGATTTTATTTATATCAAGAGGTATCAAGTTAATATTTCTTAACTGTAAGCGTTTAATCAAGTTTGCAGTTGTAAAGTGACTTAGTATTATCATTGCAGACTATCAGGCATGTTTAGGGTGATATACGATAGTATCATTTTTATCTCATGATATATTTAGAAGCCCATAATTATAGACTGTAATGACAGACTCTGCTAGAGTACAGATGACTATATATAGTAGGATAATGAGCTACTAATAAGGTTAGGAGTAAAAATAGAACTGCAAATCATATATTAGGATATGATTCGTTTATTGCACTTTGAGCAGCAGGAATAATGTCTACACAGTTGCTGTTATCGTTTCCATATTGGATTAATGATGAGAGGCAGTAAAAAGGTGTTACTAATAATGATTTAATTAAGTTTGAAGGAAGATTAAATATTGCTACGCTGATTGTAGATGTGAATACTACAGAGTATAAAGCAAGCGACATTAGATTATCTGATTGTTCTTTGTAAAACTCTTACAGTAGCTGTATTCGTTAGAGTAGAGCTTCGTGTAGCTAATCTTTGTTTTAGATCTACTAAAGTTCTAGTTTTCTACAAATTTTGAATCTTAGTGATCGGATTTACCCCAATAGTATTGGAACAGGTAAAATATTGACTAATTGAAATATATTCCTCCTCATTATGTGGCGATAGACAT